CTCACCACTGCTATTTTTTTGAACACACCCTTTTCAGTTAATCATTCAATTTCACAGAATCCACAGTATGCATGGCTGTCCTGTTGGGTTTGTTGGTTTTCTATACCTTTATTTTACCCCCCAGAAACTTATCTGGGGTATAGAGTTTGAAATGTTAATAAAACAAGTGATTTTCTTGCTGCTGTTGAGGCACCTCTATTATTTCGAACACAACTGTATGTCATCTTTAATGTTGGTGTGTTTATGTGAATCATTATTTATTGATGAGGCGACAGTGGTGTTGGATGCAGGTGTTAGCCTGGAAACCGAAGGGTTGTTGGGCTTTCAGTGTTGAGTCCTTTGGCAAGACACTCCCCCTCATTGCCTACTGATGGTGGTCAGAGGGCTCAGTGGCGCCTGTGTACCGCAGCCTCACTCCTGTCAGTGAGACCCAGGGCAGCTGTGGCTACAATGTAGCCTGCCACCATCAGTGTGTGTGAATGGATGAATGTGGTGTAAAGTGCTTTGGTCATGTCTCCTGACATGAAAAAGTGCTATATAGGTTCAGGTTATGCTAAAAATGAAATTTTAAATTAAGTGTGACCTTATCTTTCTTAGCAGACTCAAACCCAGCAGATGAGGCAGATGGCTCCTAACCAACAGTACCCTCCAATGCAGCCATCACAGGTACGTCTATTTGGCCTCTTGTTTGTTAAAAATATCAGCACGCAGAGAGCCACAATTGTTTTGTCTTTATTTTCCTGTTCGTCTTCTTTCTTTAGAACATATCTCAGGGCTATACCACATATGCATCACACATGACCATGCAGCAGCATCCTGCTCAAGGTGGTGGTATAGCCCCTTCCCCCTACGGAGCCCCGAACTTCCAGGGCAGTCATCCAGGGGCTGGCTCAGCCGTGGTGGATCCTATGAGACAAATGCAGTCGAGGCCCAGTGGTTATGTTCACCAGCAGGCTCCGCCATATTCACACAACATGCAGAACGCCCCCAGGTTGGCATCACACTGCTTTGCTAAAGTATTAGCAGCACCAAGATATTCAGACAACAACATATCCTATTTATTCTCTGATTTGAAGCATTAGAGATTATTTTGATGGTAATGCTTTTCCAGAATCGATCCATTTCTCTTAAGATGTTAGTATCAGATTATCTAGCAAAGTACTCTATGTTTACCTAAAGCAGATATAGAGAAAATTATGGGTCAGGATTAAACTGCTGTCATGAAAAGTCCTTTACAGATAACCAAAATATGTCTGACTCTTAGATTATTTTAATTTAATCTTTTTTTTATTGTTTACAATGACTCATCAGATTTTAGATCCTGATCCGTCCATTGGCGTTTGCAATGGTAGATTATCTTTTTAATGACATTAAGAAAAGGATAATTTATTTCACAAAAACAGAAGATTTCTAGCATCAACAGCCAAAAAGGAGGTTTGTAGAACCATATCCTGTGGTTATGGTCAGTAACTGATTAGGCACGCACAAAGTAAAACATGTTTTAGCTAAAGGTGACCCAGTTCTTTAAAAGTGCTGACCTCATTCTCATCAATTAAGTTTTAAAAAGTTCTACAAATTGAAAACGATCCATAATAAAACCTCAAACAAAATGTCTTATATTTAATTTAAAGTTTTATTATGGATCTGCTGTGACTGTTTAATTTACTGATTTTTAGGTTTAGATTGGTACCAAGCTGTAATCAACGATATCAGAAATATACATTTGCAGTTTGTTAGTGTCTGTGATAAAGCAACGGTACATATGTTTTACTTTTACAGCTCTTTTAGTAAAATCTTATTCCAAGTTAATTAGATTTGACTGCATATTTTATATACATAGATCTGCCATACAGGTTTTTATTATTTGACACCTTTAAAAGTAAGATTTCCTATTATTATCATGTCATGCACCACTATGCATTATATGCTGATGTTTTAGTATGAATGTCTGACATCTGAACCTTCTCTGTAAGTAAATCTGTTTATTCTTGGTGTTTTTTAAGACAAGTTTATAAGTAAGAAATATCGTTTCCATCATTCCTCCACTACTTTTCCTCATTCTGCATCTTTATTTTTCTTGCATTCCTCAGGTTTCCCCACCAGCCCCTCCCACAGAGTTCTGTCATGCACGGCCTCAGCCACGCCCAGGGGATGTATCCAGGCCTCAGGCCCAATCAGATGCTGACAGAACAGCCACAACAGCAGCAGCAACAGCACCCTTTCCTCAGACAGCAAGCACTCAGAGTATGAACCATATGGCCTTGTCTTTGTCCAACTTCCAAACTTTTTAGAACCATCCCGTTCACTATATAAACGAGCAAGTTAAGAGTCAGATGTTTTTGTGTGTGCTTTTACTGTAACTTTCTTCTGACTCATGCCTCCTACTCTTGTCTGTTGTTTCTAAGCAGCAGGCTCAAGTTCAGCAACAACAGCAGCAGGTTCAGCCTCAGCAGGTTCCTCCTCAACAGCAGGTGCCTCAGCAACAGCAGCAACAGCAACAACAGCAGCAGCAGCAGCAGGTTTCAGGTGTTCCCCCTCCTGGTCAGGGCCAAAATCAGGGCCTGGGCATGCAGGCGCTGCCCCCCCAGCAGCCCATGGTAGGATCAAAACAGAGAATAAATGCATTTAGTAATAAAGTAGTGCTCTAAAGGTCTGGACGTTTTTTTATTTTTAAACGAATACACCATATAGCTAAAAACATCTAAAATTAAAAAATTACTTAAAGACCTGAGTTACCCCTGACAAGAATTTAACACTGAATGATCCGCTCATAGGAGACTCTGGCATATAACATCTCTTGCGGAAAATAATTATATTTTGTTTATTGTATGTTAACTTAATTAATTAGACAAAACATCTGTTCAAATTAAGAATATTTTGATCTGAACAAAATAGGTTTAATCTAATCCTTAAGTAGAAGCTAAATTATAGATAAAAGGATAATCAGTGGATAAATGGGCTATTTTTTTTAAATCAGTTTTAACTGAGTAATTTGGTTTCTTCCTGTTATAAGGGAGTTTTTTTTCTCTCCACTGTCGCTACAAGCTTCCTCTGTGTGAGGGGTTGCTTTTGACTCAATGAGTCGATGCAATCACCTGGTTTTCCTTAGATAGAAAACTTTGAATCATTGTGACTGTATGATCTTGTTGAATTATAAATTACCTAGAGATTACATGTTTTCTGAATTGTGCTATAAAAAAAATTATTGAATCAATTTCAGATAAAATACATGAAATGTAACGCATCCAAACATTATGTGTATATATGTTTCATTCAGCACTCAGCAAGCTTTTGCACGAGTCATTCAACATTTTGATCTCAAGACATTTCTGCTTTGGCTAAATACTTGTACATTTTCACAATGCTCAATAGGATTTACTTTTCAGCAAAAAGAAAATCAAACCTTTAACAGCTCAATAACATTTTAGCCTTAAATACCATAGCTGTAATTCTTTCAGGCCATTTTATCGGTTAAAGATTTTGAGGAAATGGCCAACTTAAAAATAGCCACAAAACCAATCTGGTTTAGTAGGTATGGTGCCTTCTGATTGGTTGAGCTTGGGTTTATTTAGGGGGTATAAAAGTTGAGCTGTGAACACAAAGGCACTCCTTTTGAGAGCTTTATATATACAAACTTTTAACAATGTTTGAGTTTCCCTATCCAGTCTGCTTGAATTAAAATCTCTATCAAATAAATAGTTGTAATGTGTCAATGTGTGGAAAAAGATAAACTTCAAATTAAACAGGCTTTTGCCAAGCAATATGAAAATTATTCTAATTCCTAAAGAAACATCTAAAATAAGTCAATCGTCGTCAATCAATAAGCAAAATAGTGATGCAGAACCCTTTCTTTAAGTTAGTGATTGCGCAGCAGCATGTTTGTATCCATTGATGTTTGCAGTGTTTTGTAATCGTTTATTTTTCCTAAAGACTCTGATCTCATCTGTTGCAGTTTCCTCGACCGGGGATGCAGCAAACCCAACAGCAGCAACAGACTGCAGCGCTGGTCCGACAGCTGCAGCAACAACTATCAAGTAAATCACAACATCCCTCAGTGACACATTGATTGTTATGTCTGTTTTTTTTTTTACTTTTCCTAAGGAAGGAGTATTCGGGTCATCGGGAGAAAGAAACCTGAGTGTTTTGAGTTGAAATGATCAGAATAAAGTCAAAATGTTAACAAAAGTGAAATGATTGTTTTTGCTACTTTTGTACAGGGTTTCCGCGGGTCATTAAAAATCATTAAGTCATTAAATTATGATTTTTTTTAATTAAGGCCTTTATTGGCATTAAAATTCATTAAATGTTTTTATTGTGGCATTTAAAATGCTTTATTAAAAAAATGTTTATAAAAACCATTTCCTCAGACATATATCACAATATATTTGCTTGGAACTGCTTCTGGTTGATCGCAAAGCTGTATGTTCAGAAAAGAAGCTTGAGTCGGAGAAAAAGCTAGAGAATGGGCGAGGGAGAAAGAAAATTTCAAAAAAATTGGTTGGAAAACGAGGAATTCAGGACATGGCTGTAGCCTGTCGACGGGTACCTGTTGGTGGCATTAAAATTATTTCTAAGAGCATTTAAAAGCTTTAAATTTGAGTTATTCATTCCTGTATAAACCCTGTTATAATACTGAGAATAAAATGGATGTTTTTATATATATATATATATATATATATATATATTTTTTTTTTTTTTTAAATAACCTTTTAACATTGTTTACAACAGACATGGCTGTGTGAATTTTTAAAGAGTAAAAATATATAAACATCTTTGTTTTGCTCCTAGTGACCCAAATACTCCACTATACGTACTAGACTCTAAACATTTGACTGACCTTTTTCTCGTTTCAGATACACAACCAGGACAAGGAACCAGTTCCTATTATTGATCATGTCTGTTTATCATCTTGTGTCTGTCTGAAGGGTGGGGGTCTTTTCCTTTTCTTTTTTTGAAGAAGGTCCTGTTCTGTAAATTAGTCAACTTAGAAACAGGAAGCAAAGACTTGGATGGATCACCACTAAACGATCATGATGAACCAAATCCTGGTGACAAGATTTCAGTTGTAACATTTTTAATTTTCAGAGGAGTCAACCTGATTTATCACGTTTAATGACAGAAGAGCCTATGTAAAAAAGAAAAAATACAATTAAAAGAATGCTTTTTTTTTATTTCAATTTGTACAATTTTTTGTTTTTGTTTTCCAGTTTTATGTATTTCTCATTAAAAGAAGCATGTCAGCTTTTATGTCCTGTATTTGTGTTGGTTGTCTGTGAAATACTGGATATAAAGAAACATTCTGCAGAACAAGAAAATCAAAAGTATAAAAAACTTTAACACATGTGATTAACCTCCAGGTGCAGCTGAAACTTAAATGTAAATTCCAGTAATTTTATTTAAAAAAATACACTTGTAAGCATTTATTACATATAGGGAGACGTATTTAAGCATTTATTAATAAAGACTGTTTAACAGAAAATGACATCACACCAGTTACAGTAATTTAATACAGATTTTATGGCCAATAATGGAAATTTTTCCGAATCCAGCAATCAAACTACAAAGAAGCCAAGCTTTCTTTGAGTTCTATATTCTGGTATAATAGGGAAAGTTTAGTGGAAGGTAGAAGGCTAAAATAAAGCTGTAGTGGATTGTGCAACATGCTGTTTAATGCATACTGTAGCACTTTTCATACAGTAGGCTCACTTTTTTTTAACCAAATATAAATATCAAACAAAACTACTTGAAATAAGCTCTTGGGAAGCATCTTTATAATTCATATTTTAGTGGAACACAACTTTCTGTTCACAACTGTAACAGCTGGATTTAAAATAATCCTAGATGAAGTTTCTCCAAATTTTGGTGTCAGCTGATGTGAAATCAGTCACTTCAAATGTCCAGATTTGTGACTTTTCTTTGCTTTTTGTTTCTGACTTTCCAACCTGTTAAAAAGCAACCCTGAGTCTGACCCCAGCATCCTCCCTTCAAAGGGACACTTTGTTCCCTCGTATCTCTGCAGAAAATGCAGATCTTTCCAGCTTCTTTCATGCTGCTTCACACCGAGTCTAGTTAGCAGCCTGTCTGAAATTTCAGGCACCACCGGCTGGAGGAGAGTCCCGTAAATCCTCAGACATTCGAGGGCCACATGGACGATGGTGTCTAACCAGCGCTGCTCTTTGCTGTACCTCCTGTCCAGTTTCCACGGCGCATGACGCTGAACAAAGCCGTTAGTCTGTCTCACACAGGCGCTGATCGCCTCTAAGGCTTTATAGACGTGCATGCTCTCGTAGTGCTTCTCTACCACAGTGGGTAGACTTCTTACTGCCGCCACCATGTGATGATCTTCAGCCACAGCTCTGCAGAAGGCCTGAGAGCAGAAAGCAGGGTAAACCTGAGCTGGGTTAAGAGCCGGAGCTGTGCAGCGGTTCAACAGACCCCCCAAGGAATCAGCCAGCTCTGCATTGAGAAGTTTGACAACTTTGTCATGAGTGTAATCGCAGTCTGAGTCGGGGACACCCTGGCGTAGAAGGAAGTACCTCATACCATCATTTGTAAACATCCGAGAGTGCTCAAAAGGGTCCACAACGTTACCTAAGCTCTTGGACATCTTCCTCCCTCCTACAGTCCAGTGTGAATGCACATGAATGACCTGAGGCAGAGGCAGCCCGGCTCCCAGAAGGAAAGCAGGCCAGTAGAGGGCATGGAACTTCAGGATGTCCTTTCCTATAACGTGGTGGGCGACGGGCCACCACTGATCGTGTTTGTCTGGGTATCCGACGACTGTGAGGTAATTCACAAGAGCGTCTAACCATACGTAGATGGTTTGTTCGGGATCTCCTGGAACTGGGATGCCCCACTGGAGACGGCTTCTCTGGCGGGACACGGAAAGATCTGGCAGGTCTTCCTGCAGCCAGTGCAGAACGGTCTGATGGAAGCGCTCTGGCTGGACCGCTCCGGGATTTTTCACCAACCAGTCGAGGAGGAATGGCCGAAACACGGACAGACGGAACATGTAGTTCTCCTCCTTCATCCATTCGACCTGCGAGACGGTGAGATCACTTATTATACTGGGAATTAGATTGTGATTTCAGCCAAAGTGTCCAGATTTCTGCAATTACATTTTCTAGCACATATTTCAGAGCTATAGTGATCCCAGACTATAGAGCGCTCCGTGGTTATACATTCCAACTCATACATGCACATACAGCGGATAAGGTCAAATGCTCCAAAAATAGGGTTGTCAAAAGTATCGATACTCAAAAAAGTATCGATACTGAAACGTATCCGGATAAAATACTCATTTTCAAAAGTATCGATACAGCCATCTAAAGTGCAGAAAAGTGGAAAATGCACTTTCTGAACACTGTGATTGAACAATTCTGTGCATTTTTCAGTTTCATACTTTTTTTGTAACAGGTACAGCTGCTGAGAATTATTTTTGTTTAACCGGTTTGGCTAGTGTCATTGTTATGTCTGCAAAGCATAGCCAAGGAAGGAACACTTTATTTTAATTTTGTACGTTTTTTATCAAGCTTGCTTAATATTGTGCACAGCATACAACCTCACAATATAATTCTTATTGTTTTTTTTATTTATTTCTTGTATTTTTTTAGTCATGAAAATATTTCTGTTGAATTTTAGAGTCTTTGTTTTTATTCTTGTGGTATCGAAAAGGGTATCGAGTATTTTACTTAGTATCGGTATGGAGTTAAAAAGTTTAGTATCGTGACAACCCTATCCAAAAACACGCTGCACTTCTTAATCCAGGTTCTGGAGCCTGCTGGAATAATGTTACTGAATATTTCACTAATTTTCTTGGCAGAATTGCAACACAATATTTTAATCAAATGCTGACAAATCCTGATTTAACATAATCTAGATTGAAGGCGTTTGTAACAGGGCTTCGATCGAGAGCTTTCAAGAAGCAAAGCTGCTCTGATTTGTTCTCTCTTCCTGCATTTTTGGGATCCTTGTCCCTCTAGAACAGAAGTCTGCAACCTTTCCAGTCCAAAGAGAACATATTTTTTTCAGCTCAGCTAAATAAAGCAAGAGCAGCAACTGTTACATGACTTTAAAAAAGTAAATATTTCTAATTAATGCTACTTATCTAATACAAGAAGTTTATTTTCAGAGAAAAATCCTTTTATCATTTTTAATTTTAAGGTTTACAGAAAAAAAAAAATTTAATAAAATGCTGATATTTTTCGACATTTAAAAACTTTTTTTTTCACCTAAAAAGAAAAAAACTGAACTATAATATGTATGATCTATGCAGGCACTTTCACTGTCACTCTACCTGAAAATTCTAAACGTTTGTTAAATCTACTTTATATTTAAATCTATTCGTTGGATTGTTATATTTTTTAGTCAGTTATTAATAGCCATTTGGGAAAGTTAGATTACCTGGTTGCAGAGCTTTGTTTCAAGCACCTGTAGATTTGATGTTCACTTTGAAAAAAAAAAGCTGTCACTCATTTTACCAACTTTAAAACAAGCCCACAGCTTGATGCTGCCACCACAGTTTAACAGCTGGAATTTTTTTTTTAGATTTTAAAAAGTTAAAAATTCGTGATACCAGCTCTGTATGACCCTTAAAAAAACATTTGGCTTTCCCATGTGGAGAAAAAGACCCTCAGTATGATGATGCCTCTACCGTGCATTGCCTCCTCTAAAAATGCTTCTTGTTAATGTGACATCATTCTGTTTCTCCTCTGCTTTTGCAAACATTTTCTCCAGCAGGTAACCATTGAGCGACAATAAATATAAATCCATAACCAGACAAATATATGTGCAAATTAGATCATCTCAAAGTTTGCCAAGTACCTTGTGTCCACTCTCGAGTGACACTTTGACCTCCTTCCCCGATGGGTCCAGAGCATCACCGACCTGCGACGGCGTGAGGAAGCTTTCATCTTGTGTGGAGTACCAGCCCTCATAGCTTCCTTTGTAGATAAGCCCTTTGTTCCAGAGCACTGACCAGAAATGCTCCACAGCGCGACGGTGTCTCTGTTCTGTGGTTCTGATGTAGTCGGTGAAGGAAATGTTGCAGCTGCTGAAGAGATTTCTGAAGCGCTCAGAAACTTCAGTGCAGAAGGTCAGGGGGGCTTTACTTGCAGCTTCCGCTGCTTGCTGGATTTTCAAGCCATGCTCGTCCGTTCCTGGGATTTGAAAATGCAACTTGACATCATTATATTAATCGTTAAATAAGCTTACAGTGTAATTATCTTTAATAGGTGATATAAAAAATAATAAAAAACATGGTGTATTACAAAAGTATTACTCCCCTTGAAATATTTTTTTTTTTTACATTTTCCCTCATTACCTAAATATTTTTTATTAGGATTTTATGTAATAGGCCTAGACAAAGTAGCACAGAACTGATGTGGAAGAAAGTTAATGGCATCGTTTTAAAATCTCTCTACAATCACAACTATTAAAAGGGTGGGATGTAGAAACCCCCTTTAATCTGATACTGCTAAATAAAATCCTGTCCATTTAAAAGCCTTTAGATATTACATAAATAATTAAAATCCATCTGTGTAGTGCGATTTTATTAATACATACAACGCTTCCTGGAATAGATGTGGACGTTTTAGTAAATCGTAGTGAATAAAATTTTAAAGCCAGAGCTTTTAACACTGGGCACTGACTGTTAAAAGGGAGTTTTTTCTCTCCGCTGTCGCTACAAGCATGCTTAGTGTGAGGGATTGCATTCAAGTCAATGAGTCAATGCAATCAACTGGTTTTCCTTAGATAGAAAACTTTGAATCAGTTTGACTTTATTATCTGCTAAACTGTAAAGTGCCTTGAGATGACCTGTTGTGAATTGGCGCAATAGAAATAAACTGAATTGAATTGGTTGATTCAAGGTTTGTTGCATCTGCAAACCTGCCAAGACGAGGCCATCCACCTAAACTAACAAATCAGGCAAAGAGTGTATTGTTCAAAGAAGCAGTCAGAGGATCTATGATAAATCAGGAGAAGCAGCAGAGATCCACATGAAATAGAAACTATCAGTTAGACTTTTATGAAAGCTTGGGGATAAGAAGGACATACGAAGTTAATCTAAAGCAGTCATCCCCAAAGTTCGTCCTCGAGGGCCGCTATTCTGAGTTTTTGAGGTTTTGCTGCTTCAGCATAGCTGATTTTAAGTGATAGCTGATTAACAGGCTTTTACTGAACTGTAACCAGAATCAGCTTTGCTAAAGCAGGGAACATTAAAAACCTGTAGCACTTTGGCTCTTTTGACAAAGCTGATCTAAAGCCATGTAGCTAATAAAGCAAACATGTTAGAAATTGACTGGACCAGCAGAGACCGAAAAGAAACCTTTTTGCCTTCATACAAAATATGATCTGTCCAGGAAGTGTTGCCAATGCAAAGCATGGTGGAGGGAGCATCATGCTGTTGGTAGACGCTCTTATTCTAGTCTGACTGAACATGAGCTTAATGGGCACTGATTTTATGACTACAAATAAACACATTCCATAAAAGCTGCTGTTGTATAAACAGTAAAATGTTGTTCTACAGATTTTTACTTAACATAAGTCAACATGTACATATACACTAATTTGTGTTGAACTATTAAAAATATAAAAAAAATACACTGATTTGAAAAAGCTCTAAGAACATAGATGTAATGGATGTAGTGTTTACCTGTGGCAAACCTGGAGTCAAAGCCCTGCAAGAGTTTCCACCTGTGTAAACAGTCAGCTATGACTGCTGAGTATAGGTGTCCGAGATGAGGAGCAGCGTTCACATAAAAGATGGGGGTTGTTATGTAGAAACTGGAGTTTTCTTTGCAAAGCTGGTCGCTGCCGTGATTCACAGCAGAGCTCCACGGTCTCTGGAGAGGAAACAGATCAACTTTCCTGTGGAATCTATGAATGATCTTAGAGCCTCTAATTACAGAGAGAAAAGGAAACTTCATCTTTACATCGCAGATGACGTCACCAAGAGGGAAAAAAGTCGATGCAGTGCGCCAAACAAAAGATAGCCTACGTTTTCTGTCTAAGAAAATGTATTAAGGCAACGCAATTTTAGTAATCAAAATGCTGTTTGCATAAACGCACAAGGCATGCGTTTAGCCTGCTGCTCAAGGTTAGCCCAACTTCCTGTATGCGTGAAGAATTCATCATCCAATCAGAGCAATGGACGGATCAGAGTAACCAATTGGGTTACCAGACTCTTACGAACTTTTTTTTTAACATAACTTTATTGGAATAAGAAAGGTTTTTGCTTGATGTTTTAAAGTTAAAAAAAGAAAAAGAATTACAGCTGAAAAAAATGTATAATGGTGAGCTTATTCATGTGTTTGTTTCTTTACGCCATACAATTTATTAAGACTTCTGAAAAAATGTAAATGCAACTTCCGGGATGGGTGAAGAATTCATCATCCAATCAGAGCAGTGAAAAGATCAGACCAACCAATCGGATTACCAGACTCTTACGAACATTTTTCACATAACTTTATTGGAAAAAGAAAGAAAATTATTATTTTGTAGAATTACAGCAAAAAAAATGTGTTTGTTTCTTTATGTTATATAATTTATTACGAAATCCGAGTGATTTGAAATGTAAAGGCAACGAATGGGACTCTATATAGAACTCACCAGTTTTGACTAGAGACCTTTTGGAACCGATCCACCTGAGATAGAGTTGAAACCCCGCCTTTGACTTGCGCCTCTTTTTTCGCCGGCGCGGTGATGATGCGAACCCAGCCTGTGGCTTCCTCTTGTTTCCAAGGTAAACACCCGGAAGTAGCAGAGTCACCCCACAGCCAATCAGGTGCTACACTCCCAGCTGTCATCTTAATGTAGCAAAGTCGACAATCGAGGTAAAACATTCTAAAAATTGTAAAAGTCTGCAAAATATTATTTTTATTATAGTTATGTATGTATTTTTTTATTTTTCTTAATAGTGTTTTTTTTTTTTATTTACTACAAAAGCTGGTTTAAACTTTTCGGAGGGAGTCTCATCATGTGATGTTTACATGATGTCGGCTGCTTGACTTCTGGAAAGTTTCCGATCTAAACTCGGTGGTTTCTTCAGGTTGTAACTCTTAAAGCTGTGTTTTACAGATGGAAGGGAATCGCATAGACTTCTACATCGGCCTCTCTCTGGCTGTGAGCTCCAGTGTTTTTATCGGCTCCAGTTTTATCTTGAAAAAGAAAGGCCTGCTGCGATTGGCCAGAAAGGGCTCCACACGGGCAGGTAGTGAACGGTTTTTTTCTAGTTTATACTTTGCTGTAGGTAAATGACACTTTTTCAATTCAATAAGCTTTTTACCAGGCAATTAACCTAATTTCAGTGTTTTCAGGATTTTTCCTGTTGTATTGTTAATTTGTTCTTACATGAAATAAAGTTTTTATAATTTTTTTGGTATAAAGTTGCTTCATTGCTGTAGATTCTGACACCATTGTTGGTAAATGTGCCTACTGAAGTTCCTGATGATTAGATAAATAATTGATATAAAACAGCCCTTAATGCAGTACTAATATAACCTGTATAACATGCAATAAGAGCAGCCTATATTTCTTGTGAGGTAATGTGGTTGACAAGAGAAAAGTCATTTTTAGCACTGTTCTGCTCTTCTAAATTCAATCAGAATGTCAGAGGGATGTCAGCTATCTATCCCTCTCTCTTTATTACTGGTTTAAAGTAAGGTGACTAAAGTGATGGTAGCAGATCATTTGTTTATTCTTGATAAATGTTCCAATCAGCTAAAGAACCGTAGGCAGACATTTTTTTATAAGGGTGGCCTGGCAATAACCAATGCACACTGAGGGATGGTCGAAAGCGGATAGGCACCAGAATCTCAGGGTCAATCTGCACTGTTCCCACAGGAAAATTAGTCAGCAAAACATCCATATTTTCTAAATAAAGGCAAGGCAAGGCACATTTATTTGTATAGCACAATTCAGTACAAAGACAATGCAAAGTGCTTTACATGATTAAAATATAGGAAATAAAACAGAAAAAAAAATGCAGAAACAAAAGAGAACATTAAAAACAGTTGGACTAAAGAAAATAAAAAAGTTGAACTAATGATGTTTCAGTTGAGCTGTTTAACTAGAACAGTCGAAGGCAATCCTAAACAAATGTGTTTTTATTCTTGATTTAAAGGAACTTACGCTTTCCACACTTTTACAGTTTTCTGGGAGTTTGTTCCAGATAAGTGGAGCATAGGAACTAAATGCTGCTTCTCCATGTTTAGTTCTGGTTCTAGGTATGCAGAGGAGGCTGGAGCCAGAAGACCTGAGTGGTCTGGAGGGTTGATACACTGATAGCAAGTCTGTGATGTATTTAGGTGCTAAGCCATTCAGAGATTTATAGACTAACAGAAGTATTTTAAAGTCTATTCTCTGAGATACAGGGAGCCAGTGTAAGGACTTTAGAACTGGGGTGATGTGCTCTACTTTCTTAGTCTTAGTGAGGACACGGGCAGCAGCGTTCTGGATCAGCTGCAGCTGTCTGATCCACTTTTTAGGCAGACCTGTGTAAACACTGTTGCAGTAATCAATTCGACTAAAAATAAACACATCGATTAGTTTTTCCAGATCATGCTGAGACATTAGTCTTATATATATGTGGAGAGGAAGACTAACTATACTTTCCTACAGCCTTTTGCTAACAATAGACGCATATATTTAAACATCAGTCATTTTTAGATAAAAGGTATAGTGGATAAAACTCAGTTTTGAGTTCTGAGGCATAAATCTTTTCCATTGTCATTACTTACCTACTTGTATCAATAACATTTCTGCATAAAATTAATATTTACAAGCACTAATATCTACATAAATTGATTATTTGATAGGTTTTTATTAAAATTGTTATTTATCTTTGATTTCACTGAAGACTCCTAGATGACTTGCAGAGACACATAATTTTCTCTTTACCCCATAAATCACAAAATATAGTTCTGAAAAGAGCAAGAATTCTGTATTTATCATATTTGATGTTAGTATATTGATGTGTATAATTAACCACAAAAAAATTAAATGTTTTGAATATTCCACTTGAGAGTATTACTGCTGCCACCATCTGTAGAGGGGAAAAATAGTAGGGGTGGCCAATGATTGGCCTAGGGTGGCCATGGCCACCCCTGGCCCCCCATCTAGCTCCGCCCTTGATCAGTTACACTTCATCACTCCTAGAAACCAAAACTCATTAAATGTTGCCAAAATGCAGCAGATACAATAAAAACTTGTTGCATAAAGATTTTGTACATAGTGTCAGCTATACAATCATCAATATTCCATGATTTTTTAAAGAATGTCTTTCTGCTAATGAAGTTTTCCATCTGAATAATGTGCTCTATCAGTTTATTTGTCCATCCCTGTACATGCGATGTTAAACTCAGTAAGCTTCGAACCAAACAAAAGGAGGAGCCAAACAGATCATGAGACATAGAGCTTGAATAAATATGCAACAACATACAAAAGTGGAAGACAAGACAATAAACCAAAATAAAATTTAAATATATTAAATTTAAGAAAAACAACAAAATCTTGTAGTGAGAGACAATCCTTCCTAATAATGTGTATATTCACTAGCCATGGTTTGTACACATGTAATTCACTGAGTGTAGGTTAGGATTGTTCTGATGTATTGATTGATTAACTTTATTGATCTCACAGTGGGGGAATGTACTCATTCAGGTCGTATCAGGTGGTTCCCACTTTATTGTGCAAAATCAGCATTAAAACAGAAGTAAACAGGAACGATGTTTGTTATTCAGATTAAACCGGTGCTATGCTGATATTTCTGCTGTCTTTATGTCACAGGTCAAGGCGGTTATGCCTATCTAAAAGAATGGCTGTGGTGGGCGGGGCTTATTTCAAGTAAGTGGATGATTTATTCAGTTCAGCTTCCTTTCATTGCACATCAGCCACATGCCCAGAAACACTGTAACCTTTGTCAAACAACTTGTGGGTTTGGTATTTTTGTAGACTCGCCACACTACTGGTGGTAATGTTCAGAGATGTGCACATGTGGGTTGAAAGAAGTATACTCTTTCTAATGGTGTATTTAATGTGCTGTAGTGGGAGCAGGAGAAGCTGCCAACTTTGCTGCTTATGCGTTCGCACCAGCAACGCTGGTGACCCCCCTTGGAGCACTCAGTGTACTTGTCAGGTATTCAACTTCTTATTTCATATGCTGTTAGTTGGAATGTGCACAGATACAGAAATGCATCAACTTGCAAAAGTAGTTTAACCTTTTTTTTCCTCCTTTTTTTTGCATTATTACCAAAATCTTTAATGTATTCTTATGGGATCTTTGTAAAAGACTAACACAAAATAGTGCAAGACTGAGGAGTGGAAGGAAAATCATTTTCTCTCTACAATTTTTACAAATGGAAATCTGAAAAGTGTGGCAGGCATTTGTTACCAGCTTTCTCGACCAATTGATCTTTGTACATGTTGACATTTTGTACCACTGATTTCAATGTTTTTTTTTGTTTTGTTTCACAGCTCTGGGTGTATGTTTAGTTTTGATCCTCACTGATATTTTGAAATTAACCACAAACAGCTTCAGTCCACAGTCAGAAATAGAATATTCTATGCATGATGCAGCTGACACCATGTCTTCTAAGTAGGGGATGTTCATTGTGAGTTTTTTTAAGGCAAGAAACATTTTTTTTTTTTTTTTTTTACATAGCACATTTCAGTACAAAGACAATTCAAAGTGCTTTATATCAATTCGCTGCAACAACAAAAACGAGCAGTAAAGTAAATAAAAGTGTTGAACCACAAATGTGAACTAATAATACAACGGTTAACAGTTTAACTTCAACAGTCAGGCAGTTCTAAAAAAATTGGTTTTTAATTTTGAGTTTCAGCCCTTTTACCGTCTTCTGGAATTTTCTTCCAGATAAGTGGAGCATAGGAACTAAATGCTGCTTCTCTCTGTTTGGTTTTAGTTCTAGGTAGAGTAGGCTTGAACTAGAAGACCTGAGTGGTTTGGGAGGTTGATACAATGTCAACAAATCTGTTATTTATTGAGGTGCTGATCCATTCAGTGATTTATAGGCTGAAGGAGATGGCCTCCTGGTTGCTTCTCTCATTAACGCCCTCCATGCCTGGCCTTTGAGTTCAGATGTGTTTTTTGGTCCTTTATTAATATTCACCCACACACCTCTGAGGACGACTAGGTGGCTCTAAGGAGCTTTCAGACCAAATGTGATTTGAGCTTCAGAGGCATGTAATTTCATGCAAAATGTGCGGTGGATGTGCATCAAGAGTGTGCTTTGTCTGCCTGCAGCTTCTGGGGCAAGTGGTGAAATTCTCTAAACTTTGGTTGCCTCTTAAAGGTCTGGTGAATCAAGATGCAGTACAGAGGAGGGCAACAAAGATGTTCTCTTGCTTTATTAAGCAAGTAAAGCCACACCAATCTCTCTAATATATCCATCATTACATAAGAGACAGGCAAAGGAAAATAAAGGAGGATCCTCCCAAAGAGCATCTGATGCATATTGGCGTATGTCCACAATTTGGACAGGCATGTTCACATTTGGTCCTCTAGGGCAGCTGTCCTGCAGCTTTTTGTTTCTTGGCTTCAACACAGCTGATTAAGGTGATTGCAGTTCAACAAAAGCCCGCTAATCAGCTATGAATGGAAATTAGCTGTGCTGGAGCAGGGAGATCACAAAAACCTGCAGCACAGTGGGCCTCGAGGACCGACTTTGAGCGTTCCTGATCAGATGAGTGTCTAGACCATCCTGACACGTTTTATCATTCAAGTTGAGGTGTTGGAAGACTTTATGATAGATAAAGCAAGTTCAGTCTAAAAGCATCAATGAATAACATACAGCAACTAGGATGCAACTAGGTAACTATGGTAGCTGGTTTAATTCAGGGTTATAAAAAAAAAGGAGGGGAAAATAAATGCAAATCACACTTTTCATATTTTAATATGTAAAACTTTGAAAATAATCACCTGGATAGTCACTTTCATTTAACTTCATAGTTATTTTCAGCTTTTTTATTTAATCAATCCAAATGGTATAGATACTTTTTAAAGGGATCGTAATCCCTTAAAAAATGAGAGAAATGTTTTCTATATATGTTCTTAATATAGATTTTTTTATAGACTCCTTTTCCAAACATTTTTACTGATAATACCTTTACTTTTCCAGTGCTGTGCTGTCTTCATACTTTCTAAACGAGAGGCTGAACGTTCATGGGAAGATTGGTTGTCTGCTTTGCATCTTGGGCTCGACGGTCATGGTGATTCATGCACCACAGGAAGAGGAAGTCGCCTCGCTAAGCGCAATGGCTGAGAAACTAAAGGACCCAGGTAGTTTAACGTCTTTATCTGTGATTTTACTGATAGCGGAATCTTGAAAACTTGTAGGTATCGTGCATTTGCTTCAAATAATCACACAGCTAATGTGGCTTGTATGTATGCATATATACATGGTGTGTATCACACTCAACATGGACCAGAGAATGAGAAATTTGCTGTCCAGTGCAAAAAACTTGGGTCTTTCCAGAGGATGACCCAAAACACACATCTTGATTTCCATTATTCTAATATTGCCTCTTGTGTTTCTACCAGGTTTCCTTGTGTTCGCTGTGTGCGTTGTTGGAAGCAGCTTAGTCCTGATCTTTGCTGTGGCCCCTCGCTTCGGACAGAAAAACGTTCTTGTCTACATCCTGATCTGTTCTGTGATTGGCTCGCTCTCAGTGTCTTGCGTCAAAGGTCTCGGGATTGGCATCAAGGAGCTGGTTTCAGGGACGGCGGTGCTGAAGGATCCCCTATTCTGGGCTTTACTCATCTGCCTGGCCATCTGCGTCACCATTCAGATCAGCTACCTGAATAAAGCTCTGGACATTTTCAACACCTCCATCGTCACGCCAATTTACTACGTCTTCTTCACCACATCAGTCATGGCTTGTTCAGCCATCCTGTTCAAGGAGTGGTTGAAAATGAACGTCGATGGTGTAGTTGGGACAATCAGCGGATTCCTTACCATAATTTTGGGGATTTTTCTCCTCCATGCCTTTAAAGACATTACATACAGCCTCGACTCCCTCCCTTTGTACCTGAGAAAAAGCCCTGATTGGTTCCCAGGGGGCCAACAACCATATCTGGCTCTTCCTGATGATATCCAAGCAGAAGATGAGAGAAAGTTAACCAGACATGGGGAAAGAAAGGGAGAGCCTCCTAAATAAAAAAAATAAAAAAAGAACCTATGGACTTATCTAAAACCAAACTCTTTATGTTTAATAGACTGTAAAGCCTTTAACTTCCTCCTGTATGTAAGTTCTTGTTCTGAATTGGAACAAAATATATTTTTTTGTATTTAATATTTTGCATTTTAATACTGAAAGCATTATCTTTTTTACAGTTTAGCATTTTTTGCTTTATTTAAAAAAGTAGTTGACTGCACTGAAAAGTTAAAAGAAAAAGTAGTTTTCCACTTGGTTGAGTAGTTAAGTAATGATCTGTCAGTGGAATAAGATTTTGTGTGCTTATAACAAAAGAATCTTACTCCAAGATTAGTATATTTATCTTTTCTTAAGCAGCCAAAGTGCTCATTCCATTGCCAGATATACGTTTGATAAAATGAAGGGCAAGCACACTTATTTCAAGTTGTTACTTTTTCCCCCCCATCTATTTTTGCAGTGTAATTTAACACCAAGTCTTTTTTTTTTTTTTTTTTATAATTTTTTATTTAGAATAACACCAAGTCTTAAGTCTGCTTGCTCTTAAAAGTGACATTGACCTCTGGCATTACCTCAGTATTATGTTAAAAACTCCAAACCAAAGAATGTCATGTTTAGCGGATTCATTTAATAAAATATAGGCACACTTATTGTTGAAACAAGAAGTTGGCTTTTTATTAAAATGCCAGGTATTACTATTTCAAGAAGACATACTTTCAGAACCTTTTTCACCTTTAATGTGACAAAAACAGCTACATAAGGAGGGAAACTGGTAGAGCTACATTACAAAAGAAAATATTGTATGGTTTCATAAAACAAAAGATGATTTTCAAACTGATGTTTGCTGTGAAAATAACTACATTATCAAAACATGATGGCGACATGAAAAAGCATGGTAGTGGCAGTATAATGATTTGGGTGTGGAACTGGAACATTAGCCAACGAGAAAAGTATAATCAAAAGTTTCCATTTTCAATTCTCAATCTTCTCACAAAACTTCATGCTTTGGCTAAACAACTGAAGATCTTAAGCACGATGATGACTTAAAGCAGTGGTGTCCAGAGTCAGTCCTCATGGGCTGGTATCCATGTTTTGTTTCCCCTTTTTCAGCACACTTTAATTTTATTAATTAACAGGCTTTTGTTGAACCTCAATCATTTGAATCAGGTGCACTGCAGCAGAGAAACCTCTAAAACCTGCAGGCTACCGGTCCTCAAGCAACAACCTAAAGCAAACACCTAATTTACTTCAACCATTGCATTCACTAGATGAAAACATTGGGCATATAGAGCCCCAACCTGAACTCTTGTAGGAGGATCTGGAGACAATAGGGCACAGGAGACGTCACACAAATTTTAGGGAAATCGTCTGCAAATACTACAAAATGCCCATAGAATAAAGGTATGTTGTTCATACTTATAGAAAAGTTTTTCAGTTCTGATTTTATGCATAAAATACTTTTCTTGTAACATGGGGATGAGCATGTTATAGGTTGCAGTAAAAGGTGGAAAAAGAAAAAAATATATGTTAACAAAAATTAGGTATATGAGGGAGGGTGTGCTTACTTTTCTATGCACTGTACAAGCATTTTAAAAGGCTTGACAAATTGATTTGGCATTTTGATTATTGCATATTTACACTCTAGTGTCTGTTAAGTGCCAAGTGGTTTTACTGACTAACTTTTTTTAGTGCAGTTCATTTAGCAGGAAAACATCTCCCCACATCCAAACTCGGCTTGACAGTTTGCATTTTATGATTTTAATAAGCTGACAGAACTAGAAACCTACCAGCGTCTAACACTCATTATCCTTTAGACAGTAGACTTTTACACAGATCTGTACATGGTTTTAATCTCAGGCACTTGTTTTTAAAGGTAACACTGGCTGTAGTTCTTCTCCCCAGCTTACTATGCAGACAGCTGTGTCGGGATGAAGTGGAGCACCCAGTCATGAGGCTGTTTGCACAAACTGTCAGTTTTTTTAGTCCAACATTGTCTCGGAGAATCCCCCCCTGCTCTTCTGAGTCTGTTCCAGTCTGTTGAGGATAAACTGGCTGGTGTCTATAAACCGCTCCACACAGTTAACGAAGCATGCTTCTGTTCTGGAATCCAGCTTGGGTCCTGGTTTATCCATGCATTTTTCCTGCAGAGACACAGTTTGAAATAATGAACAAATCAAAATTTATTAATCCATATCAACCAGAACATACAAACATCCATTATATTCTACTACTGGGAAACTTAAGAAAGAAACAGGGATTTGTCACAATTCTGAAAATTATATTATTTATTTATTTATTTATTTATTTATT